GTCACAAGGTAAAATTTATGTTTTTCTAGGAATTTGTCTACTTCATCTAATGTTTTAAATGTATTGGCATAATATTGCCCATAGCTTCCTAAGATCATTTAAAGGTCTACTGCGTCTGTAGTGGTGTTCCCTTCTTCCGTTCCTGATAGTGATCACTTGCAGCTTCACTCTCTTCCTCTGCCCCCTTTCTTGTCTTTGCCAGGAGTTCCTCAGTTTTATTGGATTTTTCAAAAACTGAACTTTTGGCATTGTTGATTCTCTTTATTTTATGTTCTCTATTTCATTAACTTCGGCTTCCATCTTTACTATTTTTCCATGTTTTCGTTAGGTTTATTTGCTGTTCTTTTTCTGACATAATATTTAAGGTAATTGATTTTCAGCTTTTTGCTTAATTTATTTAATTAATGCATTTAAGGCTACACGTTTCATTCTGAGTGTGGAATTAGCTGCATAGCACACATTTTGATATGCAGTATTTTCCTTTCATTCAGTTCAGAAGGAAGTTCTAATCTCTGTTATCATTTCTCCTTTGAGTCATGAGTTATTTAGAAGTTCATTTCCTCATTTTCGATCATATGCAGATTTTTTGGTTGTTGATGTCTAGCTTAATTAAACTGAGATCAGAGAATAAACCCTTGTTTCCTTTAGGGAAGTTGCTGATGAGATTCCTCTGTTTTTGTTTGTCTAAAAGTGTCTCAAGGGTCAAGGAAGAGGCTAGGCTTTGAAACCCACATGAAGCCCTCCTGCACAGTTTGATATTGTGGTCACCTGTCTGAGAGGGAGAGAGGGGAGCCAGGAGGAAGGGCATGCTCAGGGAGGCCCTTCTCCACCCTCCTGTGGCCCCGACCTGGGGGAGCCTGGGCCCAGCTGCGGGCGCTCTGTCCTCTGCAGATTTCCACCTCCTGCCGCTCCGCCCAGGTTCTGCTGCACTACGTGGTGGGCGCCAACTACTCCTGGCTGCTGGTGGAAGGCCTGTACCTCCGCACGCTGCTGGAGCCCACCGTGCTCTCTGAGAGGCGGCTGTGGCCCACGTACCTGCTGGTGGGTTGGGGTGAGTGATGTGAGCCCCCAGCCTCTTTTTCTGGGGACTCTTCGGATCATGGGAGCCCACTAGAGCCTTTGGTCAGAGTTAGACACCCAACGGGAGTGTGCAAGCAATGCACACGCACACACAAACGTGCCGCAGACCCAATGCACACATGCAAACACTGGTAGAATAGTGACATTTCTTCTACCCTGTCCCCAGTCGTATTGGTCTGCTCAGGACGTCATAACAAAATTCCATAGACTGCATGGCTTATATCAGGGGTCCTCAAACTTTTTAAACAGGGGGCCAGTTCACTGTCCCTCAGACCGTTGGAGGGCCGGACTATAGTCTAAAAAAAAACTATGAACAAATTCCTATGCACACTGCACATATCTTATTTTGAAGTAAAAAAACAAAACGGGAACAAATACAATATTTGTATTTGCATGTGGCCCGCGGGCCGTAGTTTGAGGGCCCCTGGCTTATATGATGGATAATTACTTCTCACAGTTATGGGGGATGGGAAGCTTGGAACCAGGGTGCCAGCATGACTGAGTTCTGGCGAGGGCCGTCTTTCTGGCTTGCAGACAGCTGTCTTCTTGCTGTCTTCACATGGTGGGGGGTGAGGGGTGGCGGGTAGCGAGAGAGAGAGAGAGAGAGAGAGAGAGCACACAGCTCTCTGGTCTCTTCTTACAAGGGCATGGATCCCATCATGATAACACCCTTACCTCCCCAACCTCTTCCAAATTCAGTTACCTCCAAAGGTCTCATCTCCAAATATTATGTTATTATGTTGGGGTTATGGCTTCAACATATTAATTGGGGTTGGGGTGGGGGGAAGAGACATAAACCATAACACCAAGTCTTCAAGATGAGGTCTGGAACCCCTACTGCCACAGTTTCTGGAAAATGTGAGGCTGCAGAATTCAGAGGAAATGACCTTGGCCTTCAGTTCAGAATATTTTGGGTAACGTCTCTGCATTGACTCCAAGCTGCTCTGTGACATGTGACAAGTCTGTCCTGTCTGCTTCCTGGTTTGCTGACAGTGAAGGGCTATATGCCACGCTAGGTCTATAGCCCTCGCAGCCCACCGTGCTATGATGTTCGGGCTTTTGTCAGATTCAACCAGCAGGCGGGGCGGGGGCAGGCAGGTTTGACCAACCAGCAACTAACTGCACTTGCCGGTTCTCTCCCAGGCTTCCCACTCCTGTTTGTTGTGCCCTGGGGCATCGCCCGTGCGCAGCTGGAGAACACAGGGTAGGCAATTCGTCTGTTTTCTCACTTCCATGAACCAGTCATTCCCAAATATGCCCAAATGCAAGGCTACACATCATGTTTCCCAGAGACCACCCACTCCCTTCCATTTTGGCCATCTAAAATATACCTAGTGGGGGACTGGGTGGGGGTGATGGTGGCGGGATTGAGCAAAAAGAAAAATAAGGGGAAAAAAACCCATGGACATGGACAACAGTGTGGTGATTGCCAGGGGCTGAGGGGTAGGTAGAGGACAGTATAGAGGGGATACATGGTGATGGGTGGAGACTTGACTTGGGGTGCTGAATATACAGTACAGTGTACAGATGATGTGTTGTGTGCACCTGAAACCTATATAATTTTGCTAACCAGTGTCACCCCAATAAATTCAATAAAAAAGGGAAAAATTAAAAATAAAATATATCTAGGAATGTAGATAAAAATAATCAAAGACTTTCCTTACAGTTTATTAAGTCATGCCTGCAGATTAGCACAAAACTGGCTAGAACAAATTAGGAAATAACACAAAAATTTGCTGCATACCTTATCCGTGACCTGGGTATATAAGCATACAGGTACAAGAATGGTTATTGCATCATAATTCAAAGTGGGAGAAAAAAAGCAAAGTGGAAAGGGTGGAAGTGGTCAAAAGATTCAAAATTCTGCTTATAAATGAAGAGTACTGGAATGTAATGTAAGCATGGTGACTATAGTTAACATAACTTTATTGTGTATTTGAATGCTGCTAAGACAGTGAGTCTTAAAAGTTTTCATTATAAGAAAAAAATTATAACCATGTGAGGTGATGGATGTTAACTAGACTTATTGTGATGATCATCCTATATAATAAAAGCATAATATGCTAAGTGTCCGACCAATCTGTTAACTGTTCGGTCGACCGCTGGACCAGTCGCTATGATGCACAAGGGAGCAGATGCTCTGATTGGTAGGTTAGCTTGCTGCTGGGGTTCGGCCAATTGGGGATTGGGTGAGAGAGCCGGACATACCCTGGAGCCCTCCCACGGTCCCGCCCCAGCTGGTCAACCTCCCACAGTCCCTCCCTGACTGGGCAGCCTCCATCAGCCCTGATTGGGACTGAGTGAGATGGATCTGGTTGGTCCTGATCACCAGCCAGGCCAAGGAACCCCACCTGTGCATGAATTTTGTGCTCCCACAGTCCCTCCCCGACTGGGCAGCCTCCATCGGCCCTGATTGAGACTGAGTGAGATGGATCTGATTGGTCCTGATCACCAGCCAGGCCAAGGAACCCCACCCGTGCATGAATTTGTGCACGAGGCCTCTAATTTCACTATATTTATATAGTAAATCATCACGTTCTACACCTGAAACTAATATAATGTTAATCTGGCAATTATATTTCAATTTAAAAAATAAAACAAAACCCCCTAATCAAACAAAAAG